GGGGGGGGGTGGGGAGGAGCCCCACGCCCGGGGGGGGTTTGGGCAGGGGGTTGATGCCCTGCTTCTTCAGCTCCTCCACCTCCTTCTGGTCCTCGGCGCCCGCCTCCGCGTCCTCCTGCAGCATCTGAAACGGGAGAAAAACCATACTGGTTTGTACTGGTTTGTACTGGTTTATACTGGTTTGTACTGGGATTGATTGGGATTGACTGGGATGGCACTGGGAACAACTGGGATGGGACTGGGATGGCAGTGAGCGCCTCCGCGTCCTCCTGCAGCATCTGAAACGGCACCGAAAACCATACTGGGTTATACTGGTTTGTACTGGGATTGATTGGGATGGGTCAGGGAGGGACTGGGATGGGACTGGGATGAGACTGGAATGAGACTGGCAGGGCCTGCTCGCCTCTGTGTCCTCCTGCAACATCTAAAATGGGAGAAAAACCATACTGGGTTATACTGGTTTGTACTGGTTTGTACTGGGATTGACTGAGATGGGACCGGGAGACACTGGGATGGGACTGGGAACAACTGGGATGGGACTGGGATGTCAGTGAGCGTTCTCTGCGTCCTCCTGCAGCGTCTACAATAGGAGAAAAACCATACTGGGTTATACTGGGATTGACTGGGAGGGACTGGGAGCCTGCCAGCAGCACCTGGAACAGAACAAACTGGGTTATACTGGTTTATACTGGGTTATACTGGGATTGACTGGGTTATACTGGTACAAACTGGGAATGGCAGTGCCCGCCTCTGGGTCCAGCAGCACCTGGAAGGGAAATGGGGACTGGGGATACTGGGAGGGACTGGGAGACACAGAGCTCAGGTGTGCCCAGGTGTGCCCAGGTGTATCCCAGGTGTATCCCAGGTGTGCCCAGGTGTACCCAGGTGTGCTCAGGTGTGCTCAGGTGTATCCCAGGTGTACCCAGGTGTGCCCAGGTGTGCCCAGGTGTACCCAGGTGTGCCCAGGTGTGCTCACCTTGTCGAGGAGCTGGCGGCTCTCCTCGGTTAAAGGTGTGTGTGAGAACATGTGAGAACTGTGCCCCCAGGTGTGCCCAGGTGTATCCCAGGTGT